GTCTTTGTTCTGATGACAGTTGCAGTCTACATGTGCCAGTCATTGAGCTGGGTGCTGGGGTTCCTCTTTTTGGTTGAGTTCTCCTGGAAGCAGACTCCGGGGCAATAATTTGAGGACAAGTAATTTATTTGGGAGGTGATCCAAAGAACACTGTTCAGAGGACAGTTTTGTGAGACAGGGAAGAAGGAAGCCAAAAATGGTGTGGTACTGAGAAGACTGCTCTTATGGGCAAGTGGGACTCAATACTGTCAGAAAACTCTGGAAGGTAGTATAGAACGTGCCTTGGAATTTCCCTTCCAAGGCGAAGAGATGGGGTATTTATTCTCCAGCTCCTGTGTGTCACTGGCTGAGGCATTTGGCTCCCCTGACTTGGGCTGAGAGAAAACCCTCAGGCAGAGTAGCCCAGGTACTTATACTAGATGCTGCTAGAAGGTGCCGGGATGGGGAGTGCCTTGAAATTATGGACAGGGCACAGACAGGGCCAGCTGTACAACCTCATTGTAAACTGTGGCCAAAACAATTTGGGCTGGAATCAAGATTTAATATAACGCTACATGTCTTAATCTGCTCAGGCTGCTGTAACAAAATATCCTAACTGGGTGGCTTAAGCAACAGAACTTGATTTCTCAGAGTTCTGAAGCCTAGGAAGTCCAAAATCAAGGCACTGGCAGATTTGGTGTCTGGTGTGAGCCCTCTTCCTGGTTTGCAGATGGACACCTGTCTATTGTGCCTTCACATGATAGAGAGAGCACGTGAGAAATCATGTCTCTCGTATCTTTTCTTATAACAGCACTAACCCCATTCATGAGGGTTTCACCCTCATGACCTAAACATCTCCCAAAGGCCTTACTTCTTAGTCTCGGTACAATGGGGACCAGGGCTTCGACACATGAATTTTGAGGAAGCACAAACATTCAGTCCATAGCACCACAGCAATGCAGGCATTGTGCTATTGGCCAAACGACAGGCCTGTACACCAATGGGGAGCGCTGAAAGAGACTTATGCACATAGAGTCAATTGACTGTTAACCAAAGTGCGAAGAGAATTCACTGGAGGAAAAAAAAATAGTCTTTTCAGCAAATGATGCCAGAACAACTAAACATCCATATATATAAAAATAGGAACCTTGATCCATGCTTCATATCATTTAGAAAAACTGACTCAAAATCGATCACAGACATAATTGCAAAAATTAGAACTATAAAACTTTGAGAAAAAAGCATAAGGAGAAAATCTTTGTGACTTCGGGCTGTGCAAAGATTTCTCAGGTACAACAGCAAAATCATGATGAAGAAAAAAATGATAAGTGAGATCTCATCAAAATTAAAAACTTCTGGGGGCACCTGGATAGCTCAGTCGGTTAAGTGTCCGACTTCGGCTTAGGTCATGATCTCACAGCTCGTGAGTTCAAGCCCCGCATCGGGCTCTGTGCTGACAGCTCAGAGCCTGGAGCCTGCTTCGGATTCTGTGTGTGTCTCTCTCTTTTCGCCCCTCCCCCACTAGTTGTGTGTGTGTCTCTCTCTCAAAAATAAACAAAAACATTAAAAAAAATTTTTTAAATAAAAACTTCTGATCTTTGAAAACCACTGTTAAGAAAATAAAGACAGGCCACCAACTGGAAAAAACTATTGGCAAAATGCATATCTGCTAAAGTATTTGTATATACATTATATATAAAGACTTCAGAATTCAGTGATAAGAAAACAACCCAATAAAAATGGGTAAAAGGTTTGAACAGACAATCACCAAAGAATACATGCAGATAGGAAATCAGCACCTGAAAACCATCACTTTGTTATTAATCTTTCGAGAAATGTAAAGTAAAAGCTTGATGAAATCTACTACATATTTATTAGGATGGCCCAAAGCAAGCAAACAAACAAACAAAAACAAAAAAACCAAAAAACAGAACAACAAACAGCAAACAAACAAACAAAACCATACACACACCATCAATAATACCAAGTGCTGTCAGTAATGTAAGGCAATGACAGCTCTGGTGGGAATCCACTGCTGGATTGAATGCAAAATGGTACAGCCTCTCCGGAGATGACAGTTTATTATAAAGTTAACATACGTTTCCCCACTACGTAACAATCTACTTCTAGACATTACCCAAGAGAAATGTAAGCTGCCTGCACACAAAAACCTGTACATGAATACTGACAACAGTTTTTTTCATAATACCAAAAACTGGGAGCAACCCAAAAATCTTTGCACTGAGGAATGCATAAACTGTGACATTTCCATCCAATGGAATACTGCTAAGCCTTGGAAAGGAACAAACTACTGGGAACATAGACATTGTGCTAAGTGAAAGAAGGCAGACTCAACAGGCTACATCTTGTTTGATTCCATTCACAGGACACCCTCCAAAAGGCAAAATGATAGGGACAGAAAACACATCAATTGTTGCCAAGAGCTGAAGGTAGAGCACAGGATCGACCCCAATGGGTGCCTGAGAATTTTGAGGGGGGATGGAACTCTTCTCTATCTTGGTTGAGGTGGTAGTTATGTGGCTTCACTCCTTTGTCAAAATTCAGAACCGCACGCTAAATTGGGGGAATTTTACAGCAGTAGACAACATACACACAGTCTCTCCCATTTAGGACCTTATATTCTCATCGAGAAGCATCCTTGTAAACTGGCACTGATGGTCCTCAGTGATAATCATTAAAAGAGTGCTAAGTGCCAGGCAAGATGGGGAACAGAGAAGGGGCTCCCAAATCAGAGAGAGAGAGAGAGGGAGGAAGGGAGTATATATCTTATGTCCAAAGGAACCCTATTGTAAGAAGTATAACGCTTAGTGCTTTGCCTGGATAATTGTACATCTTCATGGTAAGCTAAGTGAGATAATAGGCTTTCTTTCTTTTTAAGTATTATTCTTTATTTTTATGCAGAGAGACGAAAGAGTCACATGATCTTGCAAAGGCTGTTGTGACAAACAGCAGTTGCTTATCACCCCCCAGAGGAAATCACTTTTCCTCAGGATAAGATATTTTCACTTATCTCCCTGTCTCTAAGTAATATTCATGTTATGTTACACTTGACTTTTCAGTTTTAGATGCCATCTAATGACTTCCCGTGAATGAAAATGAGATTTTCGGGGCCTCTGGGTGGCTCGGTTGCTTAATCATCTGACTTCGGCTCAGGTCATGATATCATGGTTCATAGGTTCGAACCCGACATGGGGCTCTTGGCTGTCAGCACAGAGCCTGGAGCCTGCTTCGGATTCTGTCTCCCTCTCTCTCTGCTCCTCTCCTGCTCATGCTCATGCTCTGTCTCTGTCTCTCTCTCTCTCAAAAAGAAAATTAAAGGGGCGCCTGGGTGGCTTAGTCGGTTAAGCGTCCGACTTTCGCTTAGGTCATGATCTCGCGGTTCGTGGGTTTCGAGCCCCGCGTTGGGCTCTGTGCTGACTGCCAGCTCGGAGCCTGGAGCCTGTTTCAATCTGTGACTCCCTCTCTCTCTGGCCCTCCCCTGCTCACGCTGTCTCTCTCTCTCTCCTAGAAATAAATAAAACATTAAAAATTAAAAAAAAAAAGAAAATTAAAAAAAATCAACATTAAAAAAAGAAAAAATAGAATGTGAGATCTTCGTCTACCGCTTTGTTCCTTCTGCCTCTAGTGCACAGGTTCACCCTTCCCCACCCCCACCCCCATTAGAGCTCTGTGACAATTTGATGAGATCAGCACTACTGTTTACATTACTGTGTCTATGTGAGCACCTGCCACAGCTGAACGAGGAGTAAACCAACGACTTTTCCTTCCTGCCACACCTTTGTATTTTCTTTGACATGAAAACTTGTAACGTGTTGTGTTTGCTTGGTTTTCTAGCCCACGCCACTTTTCAACCACATGCTCTTCCTTTGTTTGCCAAAATCTCCTTCCTGTGAGCTGCGATGCGTCAGGTGTGTTATCAATTCCACCTTCCAGAAGATGACTTTCCTGGGGCCCTCCGACCCTCTACAGTCTGGCCTGGCCACCCTGTGTGTCTGGCGCTCAGCTGTCGCTCTGGGATCTTCTGTCACATCATCGCGGGGGGCCTCCCTTCTTTTCTCCCGTGCAGTTTGGTTTCTCTAGCCCATGCATTTCTTCTTGGTTACACTGCAATGGGCTTCCTTTTGACATTGAGAAATGTTCCACCAGACTTCCTGCCACGTAGCCAATGCTCAGTAAAATGAGAACCTTCATCATAATTACAAAAGCACAGTGGGGGTAACTTGGGGTGTGGGGGAACTTTCTGGGCACATTGAACGGCACTCCTTGTTTACCTGGCTGTTCAGCTGAGGGCTGGGAAGGGTCCTCTGGGTTCAGTTCAGGGCAAGTGGCTCACATGCGGGTGTGTTCTCAGCCACTTGTCCTCCACCCAGCTCCGGGGCAATGTGTTCACTCTCCTCCAGGCCCTTCTACCCCCTTTATCTCCACGCCTGCTCAGTGGCCCAGTTGGGCATTATTACCCCATCTCTTAGATGGGAAGACTGAGGCCTGAAGTGGTTTGATTACTGTCCTTTTTCACCCATCCTTACACGGGATCTTTGAGAAACCCCGATGAGATTGGCAGAGAGCTTGGAACTGCACGTATTACTTGAAAAATAGTCTAGAGCGAACAGGTGAATCTGTCACCTGATGTCTGAGAAAGGAAGTGACCCTGGTAATCCAGGAGTGTGGGGCAGTCAAGGCAAATAGAGAGGCTCCTTTGTAATGTCCTTCTGCTGCGCCCTGTGCTCTCCCCTCGTGGCCCCTCCCCCGCTCCACTCCAAAGGCAGGTGGTTCCAGAATGGCTTCCTGATCAGCCTGGTGACACCTCCCCCTCTGTTCTACACATTTCCCTTTCCAGGGAAAGGACCATCACTACAATAGGGTTACTGTCCTCCCCTGAATGCCCTGCTTACAGACAGCAGCTGGGAGGGCCAGGGGCAGGTCCGGAGGGACCACACTCTCAGGCAGAGGTATAAAGGGAGAGACTGCCTCTGGCCACCACAGACCCACCTGCAGTCACTATGAAACCCAGAAGCCTCATCACCTTCCTGGTGCTCCTTGCCCTTGAAATCCTCACGTCCTGGGCTGCGGAAAGTACTGCCACAGGTGAGTTGGTGTCTCTCAGGCCGTATCCAGGTGCCAGGGTCTATGATGGCTCTGCATGGCAGTAGTCTCTTCCTGATAGTCCAGGGACTGACCCTGTAGCCACGTTTCCAGTGGTCCGGCCCATGGCCTCTAATTTCAAGCGTCTCTCTGAAGACTTCAGCTAAGAGCTTCTGAGCATCCAGGAACCCACCTTTCGCCAGATGGGCCGTTGACTCCAACCCCCGTGTTGCTTACTTTTCTTTCTCTACAGTTCCTTCTTTACTGTTTGGCCTTTTTCTCCGTCACATCATTTCAGTCTCCATCTGTGTAATCTTCCAAAATGTTCTCTTTTTTTTCTCTTACTGTTTCTTTTTGAAAGGTCGCTCTCTCTCTATTTTCTTGCCAACTGATCCGCCATCTTTCCTTCGGGCTCCGATGAGTCGCCGCTCCTGCTAGCGTGGGCCCTCCCTCTGTACCTGCCTCCCAGTCAACCCCTGGCTGGGATGGTGAGCTCTACCCAGCTGTGCGCTGGAGCTGACTCATACTGGTTCGCAACAGCTGGAGGTTACACTTTTAAGACGCTGGCGAGACAATCCACATCACAATGGTAGGTGGAAATCAGGCATGGTGGCAGTCCAGGGTTGTGGTCATGACTCAGAACCAGCTCCTTCCTCCTTTGTTCTTACTCTTAGGAAAAGCTAAGAGTGGAGCCTGCCCTGTCAGACCCCGTTTCCTATGCCTTGTGTTCGAGCCTCCTGAGTGCCTGAATGACTGGGACTGTCCAAAGGAGCAGAAATGCTGTCCTAGCTATTGTAGCAACTATTGCCTGGATCCTGTAGACCCATCAAAGCAAGGTGAGGAAACAAAGTCCTGGAAGAGGGGACCAGGACACACATCTTGGAGAAACTGGTGGTGGGGGAGGGAGTTCCTTGGTGTTGGGCAGGAAGGTGGGGCAGAGCCAGGGCTGACTGCTGTGCTCAGGTAGTCAGTCCACCAGTTGGTGAGCCAGGCAGCCAGCCAGTCAATCATTTAGCCACTCATTCGGCTAATGAGTCACTCTGTCAGACACTTACAGTGCTGGTTAGGGCACCCTTGGAAGAAAGGGGGGGCTCCTTCAGGACCTGCACTGGCCTCAGTTTGGGTGCTGAGGTAGAGAGAAAGTGATTGGCATGCCTTGTTCTCACCAGTTAAAGTCAATCCTGGGAGGTGTCCATTGGTCATTGGTGAGTGTAAGGAGCCCAACCCCATAGACACCTGCCTAAATGACAGTGACTGCCTGGACAGTCTCAAATGTTGCAAGAGGCCATGTGGGAATTCATGTGTTGAGTCACTGAAAGGTAAGATCCACATCCCTACTAGGCTACGACAACCTAAACTTCCTGGTGCCCTTCCATGTGAAGGCAGATGCTTGGCCTCTCCCTATGCATCCCTGCCACCAACCACGTAGATCCACTGCCCTGCTACACCATTCACCCCCAGCTTTCTAAACAAGAAATCCCCAGGGTCACCTATGACTGGCAGTCTGGGTCCTGGGAGGGAAGTATTACTGGAATGAGCCAGGAGGAAGGAGCCATGATACCAAAGGCAAGAATTTGATCTTTTCCTATCACCTCTGTCTCTCACTGACTGTGTGGCGGTGAGCAACTGCCTGTATCTTTCTTAGCTTCAGTGCCCCCATCTGTAAAATGGACACAGGTATATCCACTGAGATACTAAATGTAAAAATGTCTCTTAAAACTTGAAGTGCTGTGTGCATTGACAGAGTGTTGCCATGCTTATGGCCTTGATAGGCGAGGTTACCTGGAATGGTAGGAAACCCCAGTGTGACGCCCAGGTGTAGAGGCCATTCCAGAATTATCTAGCCCAATGCCATGATTTTACTAGAATGAAGATGGAAGTGGAGAGTCAGTGGACAACCTGGATTTGTTCTTGATTCCTAAATCAAAGGCCACCGCTGTTTTGACCATTCTAGCACCGTGTTCTCTCTCTTTTATCCCAAGGGACATAGGGCCCACTGAAAAGTGGACCTTCTGGGTGGGAGGAACGCAAAGGTCACTGGGATTGTTCCCGTGCTGAGGCTCTGTTTTATTTTCTTTCCACAGATACATTCTTGCCAGTTCAACAAGATTAGGACTTCTTGATATGTGTGGTTGGAGGATTCCTTTTATCCCGAAGCCAAGGAAAGAGGAAAGTGGCTTGGTGAAGGTGTGGCTTTGTGACCAAGTCCTCCATGGGGCTAGGGCTGGGCTTGTCTTATCTGTGTGTGCCCAGCAGCCAATGTGAGGCTTCGCACACAAGAGGGAAATGCGTGTAGGCTCACGAATAAATAAATACACAGTTTTCTCTGCATCTCTGTCTTCCTTGACTCATGGTGTCTGGTCTAGGGTATGAGGGGTGAGGTGAAGAATAACAGGTCTCCATGTATGCGGTTTTAGCCCCCAAGCTAGGAAGTGGAAAAGAAGCGAACATTTCAGAGCCAAGCAGATATGGCTAAGTCCTGCATCTGGGGGCGCCTGGGTGACTTAGTTGGGCATCTGAATCTTGATTTAGGCTCAGGTCATGATCAGGTCCCATGGTAGGCTCTGCATGGAGCATGGAGCCTGCTGGGATTCCCTCTCCCTGGCTCCTTGCCCCTCTTCCTTGCTCTCTCTCTCTCTCTCTCTCAAATAAAATTTAAAAAGAAGGAATCCTCCGGGGAACCTGGGTGGCTTAGTCGGTTAAGCGTCCGACTTTCGCTTAGGTCATGATCTCGCGGTTCGTGGGTTCGAGCCCCGCGTCGGGCTCTGTGCTGACTGCCAGCTCAGAGCCTGGAGCCTGTTTCAGAGTCTGTGACTCCCTCTGTCTCTGACCCTCCCCTGCTCACGCTGTCTCTCTCTCTCTCTCTCCTAGAAATAAATAAAAAAAATAAAATAAAAAGAAGGAATCCTACATCTGTACATTACTGGCTCTGTAATTCAAGGCAGATTTGTGGGACTTTGTCTCACTGAGCCCCAGGTTTGTCATCTGTAACATGGGGAGAATAATAGCAGTGCAAATTCCATAAAGTTATGAGGATGGGAGGTATAATACATGAAATGAGTAACCCAGTGACTGTCCCCTAATGACAGGAAGGGATGAAAGGCTGCTCGAAAATGGTGGGTTCCCGGCATCTCAGCGGCACCTCAGCCCTACTCCCCAGCTGGCTGCAGACATTCTGCAGCCTGCCCTCAAGCCATCAGGCTGAGAGGATCTTTCTCTGGAAGAACTGAACTACTCCAGAGCAGAGATTCTGGAGCAATAGAGAGATGGTACTGAAGATAACTAACCTCAGTGATCACCTGTATCCACGGCATCTGCGTTTCCCTGTGTACACAGCTAGGCTGTTTTTCACCTCCCTTTTCAAGTTGAGTGTAGCCAGTGACTGAGCTCTGGTCAGTGAAAAGAGAGCGGGAGTGATGTGTTCCCGTCCTGGACCAGGTCCGTAAAACTCTCTCGCCGTCTGCTGGCGTCATGAAGAGGATGTCAAGGACCTGGAGGAAGGAGCCTGGGATCCGGAATTTCTGTGTGGATCACGGCCTGTCCTCCCCACTTGCTTAGGACTATGACACGAGCAAGAAATAAATTTGTACTTTAAGGCACTGAGATTTGGAATTTGTGTGTTACGTGAATTGTACAGTTTCTTTTTTTTTATTTTATTTTTTTTAATTTCTAGGAGAGAGAGAGAGAGACAGTGTGAGCAGGGGAGGGTCAGAGAGAGAGGGAGTCACAGACTGAAACAGGCTCCAGGCTCTGAGCTGGCAGTCAGCACAGAGCCCGACGCAGGGCTCGAACCCACAAACCGCAAGATCATGACCTAAGCGAAAGTCAGACGCTTAACCGACTAAGCCACCCAGGCGCCCCTGAATCGTACAGTTTCTGACCGCTGTTTGGAGGCCGTTTTCAGCCTGCTGGATGGCCTTGCTTCATTTCCTGCCTTTGAGTTCTTTGTAATGTTTCATTTCATCATGGATCCCATATGAAAGTGCTTCTGGTCCATCTCTGGATGGGGCTCGGAGTGGGAAAGAAGTGAGAAGCAGCTGAAACTTCAGTTTGCACTCTCTGGCCAGGCTGTCAATCACAGGTGAGACTCTTCCCTGATGCAACATGATGTGTGACCGGCGTTAGACGTTTTCACCAGGCATTTCCATCTGTAACCACGCTGAGCTGCTGGAGGAGAGTCAGGTGTTCACCCCCTTGCTCTCTTAGACTGTGCAGTGCCTTCCCCGGCTCCTGCTTTAGGGGCCAGGCTTTTTGGAGTATCCCTGTGGATCATCCCTAGAACTCTGGAGGCTTCCCCCAGTGTTCCTTCCTTTCTTCGCAGCTCTTTTCAAATCCTTTTCCTTTTTTATGCAATTCCCTTCTCTGTGCTACTACGTCTCCTTTTCCTGAAGTATATCAGCCCCCACTACAGGAGTATCATGTATCAATACATTAACCACACTCTCCAGTCCACTAAATAGCAAGTAACTTTCTCACATGTTTCTGGTGTTTGGTGGGGAAGCATGGGACTCAGATTTCATTGTCTGTGGATTCTGTGTATCCAGAGGGCTGATGGTCTAGAAGAGGGAGAGAACAATCTTTGTGGGGTGGATAAGGGAGAAAGGTTGCAATCTTTCACCCTGGCTCAAGCTCGCCTGAGAGTGAACAGCTAATCTAAAATCAAATATCTAGACCACAAAATTAATCTGAATTTTCCCCTGAAAATCTCTTGAGGTTTATATGAAGGAAACTGGCCTTACTACGTGGGGTCTATTAATTCTGACCTTATTACACTAAGAGAGCGTCTGCCCCTCCAGCATCCGGATTCATTTTGAGCTTGCCCTACACTGACCGACAGCTGTGTGCTCAAGTCACTTCTTTCCAGTCCCCTGGGTTTTCCCACTCTTAAGAAGAGGATGGGGGGGAAAATCTTCTCTCATCCTGACTCTTTTCAAATAGATCTCCTTTCATAGAAGTTAGGGGTATCCCTTTCTTTCAGCCTAAACGAAACTTGACTCAGTCTCTGGAGGTATAGGCGGCAGGGGCATTGAGAAATCACCTGGCCAGGCTTCAGGCACTATGGTTGTCCCTAGACCTGCTGTTGACTCAGTGTGTGACATTGGACATGGCCTCTCATTTGTGTAATGAAGGGTTGGTTCAGCTGACTTTCAATGCCCCACATCGTTCTGCTGTTTCACAAACTAATGATTCATAGAAGCACCTTGGCGGGAAAGCCACAACGGGAGAGGCCGCCCCATCTTTTTCCAGGGGCTCCCCCAACCTCTTGGCCTCACCTCAGCCTCGTCTCCTCTGGTTGCTGTGGCCAGCTTCCAGGACACCTGCTTGCCTTGTGATTGTGACTTATGAGTGTCCCAATTAGCCACAACTAGAAAGTCAGAGGCGATCTGTCTAGTAATACATTCTTAGAGGACAGATGAGGAAACAGCCCCAAAGAGACGATGTGCCTGAGATCACACAGCAAGTCAGTGGTGGAACTCAAAGCCCCACATTCTTTTTCTTTATTTTCCAGTTTATTGTTTTCAGATGATACAGTGGATGCTGTAGTGTGCCGTCCAGATCCTCCCACGGGACTGAGGCGCCCATGCCTTTGGGTGTTGGGATGATTCGCTGCTGATGCTCACAGCTAAGTCCCTCCCTGGGAATTTCTCCGGCCAGAATGAGCTGCTACATTCAAGAGTAACACCCCATTCCCAGGGGCTACCTGTATCTGCTGACTGGTTGATGTTGGGACACAAAGGCCTAACTCCCTAGTTCGATTAGGGACACCTCTGAAGGACCCTTGTGGCTCTTGATCTTCCCGTGGGATAAGCTGAGCCCCCGTTTTAACTGCATCACAAATGCCCTTGTCTTTCTACCCAGACTCGCTTCTTCTACTTCTCCCAGCTGCTGCACCTCAGAATGCCCCCTGTAAACCTCGTGTACGTAAATCTCTGCCTCTGACACATTTCCAAGGGCATCTGACCTAAGGAAGATTATAAAAAGGCACCACTGCCAAAACATTCATTAAAGTTAAAAAAAAAAAAAAAAAAAAAAACTCCACTGTGAAGGACAATGCCAAAAGAATGAGAAGACCAGCCACAGACTGGGAGAAAATATTTGCAAAAGACACATCTGATAAAGGATAGTTACATAAAATATACAAAGAACTCTTTAAAACTCAACAACAAGGGAAAAAGCCCAACTCAACAACAAGAAAACAACTCGATTAAAAAATGGGTCAAGGAGCTGAACAGACACCTTACCAAAGAAGATATACCAAAGGCAAACAAGCATATGACAAGGTGCTCCACATCATATGTCCTCAGGGAAATGCAAATAAAAATAACAATGAGATACTCTCTACACCTATTAGAATGGCTGAAATCTGGAACCTGACAACATTAAATGCTGGTAAGGGTGTGGAGCGATAGGAACTCCCATACATTGCTGGTGGGAATGCAAAATGGTTCAGCCACTTTGGAAGGCAATTTGACAGTTTCTTACAAAACTAAATACACTTTTATCATATGACTAGGCAGTCATGCTCCTTTATATTTACCTAATGGACCAGAAAACTTATGTCCACACAAAGGAACCACACCAGGATGTTAATATCACTTATATTCATAGCTGCCCAAACTTGCAAGCAACCAAGATATCCTTCCGTAAGTGAATGGATAAATAAACCGTGGTACCTCCAGACAATGGGATATTATTCTGAAGAATGAACCGCCAAGCCATGGAAAGACAGGCAATAAATGTAAATACATATTACTAAGTGAAAGAAGCCAATCTGAAAAGGTTACGTGTTGTATGATTCCAACTATATGACATTCCGGGAAAGGCAAAACTAGGGAGAAAATAAAAAGATCAGAGGTTGCCAGGGATTGGGGACAGGAAATAAAGAGGTGGAGGGATTTTTAGAGGATTGAAATGACTCTGTATAATACTATAATGATGCATATATGTCATTATACATTTATCCAAACCTGTGGAATGTATAACACCAAGAGTGAACCCTAACATAAACTATGGACTCCAGGTGACTGTGATATGTCAACCCAGGTCCATGGATTGTAACAAATGTACCACTCTAGTGGGGGGTGTTGATGGTGGGGGAAGCTCTGCACATGCGGGGGAGGAGGTTACAGGAAATCTCTGTCCCTGTCTCTTAATTTTGCTGTGAATCTGAAACTGCTCTTAAAAAAAAACCTACCTTAAAAAAAAAAATTAGAGAATCAAATATAATTTCTGAACGCTT